CCACTACTGTGCATGTGTGTCAAGGACAGAAAGGCAGACGTGGCAGTGGAAGGTGTCAAAGCAGTTTGGAGAGAAAAACAAAGTAAAGAAAAAACGATTAATTGATTATTAAATTAGTCATCGATTATTTTAATAATCAATTAATCATCTATTAATCGACTAATCGTGGCAGCCCTACCCACCAGCAGTTGTCCTGGTTATTAGTTTGTAATCTCCTGTCCTATGCAGAAACACTATATTTCCACTTTTCAACCACTGGCCCACCTATAGGTACCAGGAGCTGAAGTCAGATAGTCTTATCTCATGGTACTCACTTTATCTCTGAATTAGATTAGATTTAAGCACACACCTTATACCATACTCAAATTTTAATTTGTGAAAAGTCCCATTAGCCTTTGCTGCCCAAACATATGTTGAATTTTCCCCGTGTCTGTGGGCTGAAAAAAAATGAATGTGGACAACTGCACTGGCTGCTAGCTTTTTCATAAAAATAAAACAACTTTACTTAAGACGTATTTGCATTTCATGTATTATATTACTGCGTTTGGCCCGCGGCCCTCAGATTGATTTTAATTTTGGCCCTCTCAGGGAAAATGTTTGAGCACCCCTGCACTACACTAACGGTCTGTGTGGACAAGTCCTGTTCATCACATCAAACACAGGAACGTGCAGACTCACCTTGTTCCTGAATTTGACGCCGTAGAACTTGTCTGCAGACTCGAGCAGCTCAGGTCTGAAGGTGGTGGTGATGAACTGAGCGTGGCCCGCCAGCTCGACAATCATGTCTGAAATAAAGAAAATCACAAATGTATCAACGAGGAGTTTAAAATGATCTTTTCAGTTTGTTTCCATTCACCTCTGTCAGATCATTTCATTGTGACAGATTAGGTTCAGTGTGTAGTTTTAATTAAGTAGACATGATTTTAAATCCTTCTTTTCCACATTTAAATCTTATCAGCTGGGGTCTGTATAAAGTGGAACTGAAATACTTCGGTCTGAATTCCTCCTTATTGTAACTCCACAAGCCCCTCTTTCATCCCTTTTCTGAGATGTGACTCAGATCAACTCATTTTAAGGCTGTCTCTTTAAAGTCTCTTCCAGAAACTTTTTATTTACTCTAATTAAAAGATGTCAACAACTGAAGACGTGTCGGTCCAGCTTTACATGTTGGAGCCAGAGTCTGACTCAGAGGAGAACGAAGACCAAACTGTAGTTAGTAAATCCAGACCTTATTTAGGAGTTCTGTTGCAAATACTGTGACCAAATGTCACAGAAAATATAAAAAAACTGAACGGATTGAAAAATATGACCCAAACAGAATATACATCCTAGAGACTCCAAGTACACAACAAAATGACTTTAAAGAATAGACTTTGCATGATACATCCCATTTAAAACTGATTTTAATAGAGAACTATGTTTTTGCCAACATAATTAAGGGGTTATAGAAACATTTATAAACAAAATAAAACTCAACACATCCATAAAGCATAAAAATCAAGACCTATAAACCAAATCAAACTTTTTTTTAATCCTGCAAGAACTGTGGATATTTAGTGTAAATCAAACACTGTATAAATAAGTTGGTGAGTTGTTACACTAGACCTGACCCTGTTTTTCTTTTTGTTCCAACAAATGAAGTTCTGTATTTTTGTCTAGAAGACAAAGTTAGAGGTCAGACTGAGATGGTCTAGACCTAGGCCCAATAGTGGGCTGCGAGCGCCACCTTGAGGGCCTCAAAAGAACAACTGTTTTTAACTTTGGGCCACAGAGGGCTGCGGGACCACATTAATTTTGAATAAGGTGTAATACACTTTCTCACCACTAGTAGCGGTAGTGCACCACTCAGATGTTTAACAACTTTTTGAATATGTAGAAGAAACATAGAAACCTGCCTTGAATGGAAACTTATTTTAAATGAAAAGTAGAAGCAAAAATGAACGTAAATCATCAAAAAACACCAAAGTTTGTCACTAATATGAAGAACAGCTTCTGTTTTTATCATGCAATATTTTAAAAGTTCAAAACATTATCAAATACAGTTGCAGATACAACTATATTTTAATTTGCATTTTATCAAATTATTTTGTAGTTCATTTTTAAATA